ATTCTTATAAATTTAAAATCAATAATTTTAACAAAATTAACAGAACGAATAGTATTTTTTTGTCTTTTCTTTTTTTTTTTGTTATGTCTGAAATACAATAAAACAAATTTTGTTTAATTTCTCTCATATATCAATTATTAATATGTATATGATATATTTTTGGATGTATCATATAACAAAAAAAAACAAAATATATGGGGGAAATTTGACCTTCTTCTCGATTATGAACACAATTTAAGCTCTAATATACGCACGTCAAATCGACGTCATCAGGAAATGTCTATACAAATACGCTGCAAAGTGCGTGATTAATGCGAAACGTTTCTGTACACTAATATAAATGTTACCACATGGTATCAACTTACATCGATATCTTTCTATCCATTATGGCTCTCCTTTCTTTTTTTTTTTTTTTTGTATATATATATACTTTTTTTCTTTTTTTTTTTTTGTAATTTTCCATTCGCTACACTTGAAAAAATATGTCGTTCGCTTGTGAAAATGCATTAAGCACGAATATACATGTAGAGAAATATTTACAAGTTGCATTGGTGTATAATGAAATTTATATAAAAAGAGTACAAAACATTTAAAAGTGTACTCTGATATTCCTTATCTCATTGCTTTCGATTCTTATGATAATTAATATGACAATAAAAAAAAAAAAAAAAAAAAAAAAGACTTTATACTGTCTATAAAATTGAATTATTTTTTTATCTTTTTAAATATGATCGATTAAGTCAAAAATATCTTATTAGAAAATTGATTGGTATTTCAAAATCAGTCTAAAACTCTTTTCGTAGTATAGACAATTAATATCGATACTTTGAAATATATATATATATATACATATAAAGTATATATATATATATATATATTTTCTCTCTGTAATAATCTTATTCATAATTTTAATACGAATTCGAAAAGACATCGATCGTCTACAACAATGAATGAAAACGCATTATAGTTTAGGCTTATTAATTATACGTGTCAATGATATTCATTCATTATTTCATTCGTTCGTTCGTTCATTCGTTCATTCATTTCTTGTCTTTTTTCTTTTCACTTTGAACTTTTTTTCCATGAATATTTGTATATTGATTGCGTGGAGAAAGACTTCGATATAGCCGCGCCTTTGATAATTTCATTGATAATAGATGTGAAAAATCAGTCTCCTACATCAGAATCGCCATCTCCGATGGCATAAAGTATGTGAAAAGCGATTCCAAGGAGTGCAGTTCCTATTAGATCACCTGCAGCAGTTAAGTATGGAATCGCTGAACTATCAGGGTCCATACCTCTTGTCCACATCCAAACGACCATTAGTTGAGCAATGTACAATAATAAAACTACCTAAAATGATATTGAACGATCGACAAATTATTTATATTTATATCTAATTTAATATTAAATTAATTAAATGTGAATAATTTATCTATATACCTGTAATAATGCAACCGTCAAATACGCGACAATAAATATAGGTGTAAAAGATGTATGGCCAGCTTGTAAATAACTTATGGTATAACTAAATATCAAATGGCCAGGTATAACCATCATTAATAGAACTCTAGCGGTCCTAGCATGTCCTCCTATTAATGAGAATTCGTGTTAAATTGTTAATAAATAAATTAATAGTGACTTACACATATTATCTTTGATACCTTTAGCAAAAAACGCATGAAATGGACTTATGCAAATAGTAGGCGCTACTTGGCTGCCAGCTCGAAAATCTTTATGTAACGATGTAGAAATTCTACTAGCTTGGACGGCAACAAGGTTCCCTCCGACTCCATTTATAACTAATTGAAAGACAGCTATTCCTTTATAACTGGATATCGTGTAATCTAATATCAGACCACCTAAGCTGAAATTGTTATGATTTCTAAATTTTCTTATGGATAAATATTGATTGATAAGGAACGACAAATATACCTGCTAATAAGCATAGCAGATATCACAGGGGTCCAACCATAATCCAATACTTCTTTAGTAAATGGATTTTTTGCTGCGACATAACCCCAAATAGGCGTTGCCACAATGCAGAAGAATATTAAAGTTGGTGCTATCCATGGAGCATTATCTGAGATGATAATTTATATTAGGTTTCAATTAAGTGTTAGAATTTTTAGTTAATTGTTAATTAGTCTCAATTAGTAACAAATAATGTGAATTGAAGCATTGAGATTTGTTTACCTATCGAATGATACAAGATAGAAGCGATCCATGACAGGAGAGCTAGAGTGGTTAGATCTCCTAAAGAAGCTGCAATTGGTGTAGCCACATTATCAGGATTAATGTTCATGTGTCTTGAGAATAATATTACTGCGACCATTACAAGTCCCAAAAAGAAGCTCGCTACAGAAGCAGTAACCAAGGCACTAGCGCATAATAAAAGTCCATGATGCATATCAAAATGCGCTTCTGGTACCCAACCAAGTACAACAGCAGCCAATGACGCCAAAAGGCCTACCACCATGGCTTGACATTGTATCAAAGCCAAATTTCCAACGATCAATGTCCATTGTTGTTTTTTTGTATCCATATGACCTAAATTGGCCTGAGTTGACAAGCGCGAAGCCAATGTCATCTCCAAATTTCCTTTCAAACCTAACAATGCTGGAACTAATATATAAACTTCGGAAACAATTTGATAAACGGGCCAGTGCTGTAAGATAAATTATTACAATTATAATATTAGCCTATATTAATATTAATTATCTTACTTTATTTACATACTTGAACAACATCTAATAAAAGGCTAGCCGCGACCATACCAAAACCAGCAAGTAGGAATGGTATAAACATTTGAATGGATATGGACCAAACATTGTCATCCTCTGTTGCAACTTGAACTTTCTGGGTGGTTAACTTTTTTATATGATTATTAACAGATTCATTCTTAATAGAAGATCTTATTAATCTTTGCTTATCGCTTTCCTCGCTCTCATCGTCAGAATTAATCTCCAATTCCATGGCGACATCGACGATGTCAGAACCAAGTAATTCTTCGCTACCCAGGCCGACCATTTTTTCGAATCCAAAATTTCCTTCTACGCTTTTACGGCGAACGTTGTTTTTTCGTATATCTCTTTTTCGAAGCTCGACATGACTCATTCTCGCTTCTTTCCTTTTTGAAAATTAACGAGTACTAAAACAAACAAACAAACAAACAATCGATAAATCGGTAAATAAAATCGATCCTCGAATAAAATTATTTGACATGCTTGGGGGATTTTTTTTCCACTCCACGTCAAAAAAAAACCAACTCTAATAATAGATATATTATACTGCAATATTACTTGCAAAAATGAGACGACACGAATTAAACCACATAATTATGTTAAAAAAAAAAACGAGAGAAAAAATAACACAATTGCAAAGAATCACACTCCCGTATTTAGCACTTTAAACATATTTTATCAAATTAATTAAATTATGTACGTTGTGATTAGTTTGGTGTAAGATGCGCGAGATAACAATGGCAATCATCGGTTGCTTTATCTATTGAGGACGATAGTGAAAATTCTTTAATAGTATACGCGTTACAGGCACATGCAAAGAATTTATCGTACTGTACTAAAATAAATTTAGAGAAGCACATTCGTTGCCAAAGTTTCCCGCCTTTTTATTTTTTTTCGCTAATCTAGGTTAATGCACTTTATTTCGAAAATAACTTTAACGTTTTCCAATGAAAATCTATTATCAGCTTAATTACTCTTCTTTTCTTTTCTATTTTTTTTTTCTTTTTTTTTTTTTTATAATAAAAATACGATCGATTATGACGAAAAAATTATGCGAGTGTATCCGTTTGAAATTACATTCTTAATCAAGGAAACAATCGACAATCAATTTCTATGTACGTACTGACGAGGTCATATTAATGATTATTTTAAGATAATTATTTTTAAAAGAACAATTGTCAGAGCGCCCAATTATTTGTCGACGATAAATTTTATCGCGTTATAAATTAGCGCGGATGTTATTTCTCATTTAATCTCATCATATAAATTAGTTTTGTTATTACAATTGGTCTTTCTAAAAATGTTCGATGGCGAGATATTGATTGAATCGATCGAAAACAAACATAAATCGTAATAAGAAAAATACTCGAACTTGGCTGTCGTTGGAGAACAATAATAAAAACATAATAAACAATAATTAAAAAAAAAAAAGAAGTATAAAAAGATGATAATTATTATCATCGAGCACTCGTCCTGATATTGAAATACACCGGGTTATCTCAAATTCATGTATATGTGTCAAATTCTTCTTCTAATCGAATAAAATGACACGTAAAAAAAAGAAAGAAAAAAATAAATAAAAAACATATATCACAGATGCGCATAAATTAAATGTAATCTTTGCGATAAATATGCGCTATTCGCAAAAATATTTTTCTAAACGATGCAAAAAATAATACTAGTTATTGGTGAGAAAATGAATTTATGTAATTAGAGGTTAAACGTATCAACTATTATAAACATGGAATAGGCTCGATTATAATTTTGGCATTCATCGTATATCCTTTGAAATAAAAATTAGTCATTTTAATGAGAGAATAATGTAAGCCACGTAATCAAGTTATTCATTTACTGAGAGCAACATAACCTCAAAACTTAAAAGACCGACATACCTCGAACAAGCGATCAGATCTTTTAAGCTCTTGGCGCTTCTCCATCGGTCGTCGAGCATGGGGCTATGGTTCTGACACGAAGAGACGAAAAAAAAGGGCTCCTTTGGAGAGGGAGAAAATGGCGGGTCCTTCCCTATCTATTTCTATCTTTATCTCTCTGTCTCTCTATCTATCTCTCTCTCTCTCTCTCTCTCTCTCCCTCTCTTCCTCTTCACTATTTATGTCTCGTATTCGTGGCAATCGAAGAAGCAACGTCAATAATGATCGTTGTCGAATGGAGACGTTAACAGAGGCTCACGCCGGCTTGACGACTTCTCACTGACACGCTCAATGACGCTTTTTCGATCGCATCCTTTCGCATCACCTATGTATATGTATGGATATATATATATATATATACGTGTATATATATATATATATATATATATACACACATATTGTCTATATACATACCGATTTCCTCGTCTATTTACACATTCATTACGTCGCACAAATTCATTTATAATCTATCCTAAATTACCTTCTAATTAGACTTTTAAAATAGAATTGATTTGAAAGTTTTTACCAACAGGGATCATTGTACGGATATAATATTCTCTACCTTATCGACGATGAAAGGATCGCTATGTTATCGACTTAATTGCGTTAATAGTTTGAAGAAAATAATTCTAGATGTCGCCTTCTTCAGCGCGGTCTTTACGTCATTATTTAAAAACAAAAACTTAATGTCGATTACACGGGGTTTTATTTTTTTCCCTTTTTCTTTTTTATATTTTCTTTAATAAAAATTTCATTATCGATATAGATTACTCTTCTTATTGAAAGATACTAATTAAGTTGGAAGTTATATTTTCTGTATAGAAACATCATAACCACTTATTAATAACAAAATGTTGAGTAGTTCGTTAAACAAACCTGTCCACTTTTGAAATCACACAGCATTCATATATATATATATATATATATATATATATATATATATATATATATATACTTCTCTCATTAATCCAGTTCTCTGAAAGCTCTTGGATTCGCATCGATGTGATACTCAGAGAATTTTGACCCCGACTTGAAACTGACCAGAGAGTTAGAGGATTTTCAACAGAAAAGCAAAGAAAATCAAACGAGATAAAGATAGAGAAAGAAAGGGAGAGAGAGAGAGAAAAGGGTGGAAAGCTCAACCAACTTGATCACACTGTTGTTACGTTTGTGTTCGTTTCTTCGTGATGGAATTCGTGGTATTCCATTACTGTTTCTCTAACCACCCTTCTACAATACAGAAACTTACAAGCGAGAGACGAAATGCAATAATTCGAAACCATCCCGATGGTTTCTCGCATCGTTGAATATGATATAACCGAATAATATAAATAATTATTTTAATTATTCATAGCCATTAATACGACTAAGTGATGTTACTTCATAAAAATTTTATAATCCACGTCTATTATCCATATTAATTTATAAACTTCACTTTTCTTTATTTTTTATTTTTTGTTTCTTTTTTTGTTTAATTATCCTGCGAATTTTACACATTAAAATTATAAAATGTAATAAACTAATTATCCTGACGTTTCTCTCATGCGTCGTTCTAGAGCTTTCTCACTAGTTTCAAATTAATTATTATTCCTCTCTCTTTTCTCTCTAATTTTTTTTCTCTCTTTCTCTCGTTGTGACTTTCGGTCGTTGCAGTATACATTACAAATGCATCAAAGAAAGAAAGCAAAAAAAGATACAAAATAACCTACCTCCCCTCCCCCAAAAAAAAGAAAAACAAAGAAAGAATGAAAGAAAGAAAGAAAGAAAGAAAGTGAGAGAAAAGACATGTACGAGTCGTGAAACACATTTATTTTATTATGTGGCCGGAAAAATTGTGAATGGAAATTACGTACGCTTTCTAACGTTGTACAATATATATGTACATACATAAATACATATATATATATATACATACATATATAAATACATATATATATATATATATATACATGTGTTTTCCGTTCATTTTTCTTTGTTTGTCTTAATTTGTATTAATTAACTAAACTCGAATCATAAAATACATAGAATCAAATGAAATAAATGCAATTAATATATAGAACAATTGATTTTCATCCCAACACGATTTGCATCGTCGTTGGCACTTGATCGTTGGAAAGAGAGAGAGAGAAAGAGAGAGACAGAGAGAGAGAGAGAGAGAGAGAGAGAGAGAGAGAGAGAGAGAGAGAGAGAGAGAAAGAGTGAGAGAGTGTTTTCAATGCGATAAATGCGATATATTCCACGAATTCATCAATTATTATTCGCAATCATAATCATAATTGATCGACACCGAACGATTAACGAACTAATTGCGAAATAAATCGAATATTTTCTGAATGATATAACCATATGGTAATATTATTCGAAATATACTTTATTCAATATTCGAGAGAGAGAGAGAGAGAGAGAGAGAAATAGGTAGAAAGAGTAAATGTCAAGCATGATCATTATTATTATTATTAATGATTTATTACCCGACGAACAGACATCTCTCAAAAATTTTTCTCTTTTTATTTATATAATATATGCAGTATGAATTATTAATTCAAAGAAGATATATGATTATCTTTCAACGCACTTTTACGTAATAACACGTGGATACAGATGAACCAACCAAAACTAATACCCATACTTTTTGGATTTTTATAAAAGGTATGCTATGATGATATCATCTTATCTCACGTAAATGTCACTTCGTGATAACACCGATTCACACAATGAAGAACTTTTTTTCCTCTCCACTCTTTTTCTTCTTCTTCTTCTTCTTTTTTCTTTTTGTTTTTATTTTCTTACTATTCCTTTTTACTTTTCCACGTCGTTAAAATTTT